GTGACTAGTCGACTATCAAAATAATTGTTTGTTGCAGCTCTAATAACAAATATGAGTAAAAAATAGTACAATCTACAATAAACAACAAATGAACAACACAGTTATATGAAAGTGCCACAGGTGCCTGTAAGGGTCTTGTACTATACTGATGCACTCTCTCTCTCTCTCTCTCTCTCTACACACACACACTTAAAGTAAGACTGACGTTGTGTAAGAGAGAATTACAAACTGCATTAATAAATAATATGTACACTATAAACCTAAGTAAAACAGCTCCATGCAGGTGCAATACAAAAATATGTAGCTGACTGGTGTGTTCACAGAATGAAGAATTATGGTGGTGGTGGTGGTGGTGGGGGGGGGGAATCAGTGGGAGGAGCTCTGCTGTCCCCAAACTGTGGAGTAGAGCGGATGTGATGGATTATCCTTGATGGAGATGAGTGTGACCTCTGACCCTCACTGACTCAAACGCCTCCAGAGTCTGACCAAAGATGCTTTCAGCCTTTTGGATCAGTGTTTAAATCTTGCTGGCAGTGATGCTGCCCCTTCAGCAGACAGCAGCAGAATAGACGCACTCTCTACCACAGGATGTTAGAAGATCTCCAGCATCTTGCTGCACACATTAAAGGATCTGAGCTTCCTTAGAAAGTAGAGTCTGCTCATCCCCTTCTTGTACACAGCATCACTGTTGGGCCTTCAGTCCAATCTGTCATTCAGGTGACTGTGGTAACCCAGCATTACTAACCACCACATCAGACAGGTTGGCCCACAGCCGTACAGACTGAGGCCTCTCAGACAGATAGTGAAGAATACAGGAGACAGCCGAATAGATCCATCCTGGGTTGTATCAGCAGCTCGTGGTGTTGCTGTAGTAATGGCCTGAAGGATAATTTCTTGGCATGGTTTGTGGCCCTTAGTATCAAATGAGCATTGCTTAAATGCCACAGCCTGCCTGAGTACTGTTGGAGACCATGTCCACCCCTTTGGGGGATAGCACACCATGTCACAAAACTCAGATAATCTGAGACTGGTTTTTTGAACATGACAATGAGTTCACTGTACTTAAACGGCCTCCACAATCACCAGATGTCAATCCAATTGAGCACCTTTGGGAGATGGTGACAAATCTGCAGGAACTGTGTGATGTTATGATGTCCACATGGGCCACAGTCTCTGAGGAAATGTTTTCAGCACCTCGTTGAATTGTTGGTACAAAAAATTCAATCAGTATTAACAAAGTGTACAAAGGTTACAAAGTGTTTTGAGTGAAAGCACAATACTTAACACCAGTTACTGTCACACTGGAGCCTATCCCAGCTGTCTTAGGGCAAGAGGCAGGGTACACCCTGGACAGGTCGCCAGTCTGTCACAGGGCTAACACATAGACACAGATAACCATTCACACTCAAGGGCAATTTAGAGTTTCCAGTTAACCTAACCCCACTAACGGCATGTCTTTGGATTGTGGGAGGAAGCCGGGGTACTCAGAGAAAACCCACGCAAACACAGGGAGAACATGCAAACTCCACACAGAAAGACCTGATGGTGGAACTGAACTCAGGACCTTCTTGCTGTGAGGCAACAGTGCTAACAACTGTGCCACCCTGCAAAATTAATTTATTTTGCATAAATGCCAGAATAGTGGTGAGTGTCTAACATGAGGCACCAACTTTTACAGCAGGCTAGAATTTCTATAAGGTCTCCAGTGATGTCCACCACCTCAGTTTGAAAACATGAATCAGTCCACTGTGCTAAAAAACAATTGCCTGGTTTCATTTAGAAGGAATATCCCGGAACTTTTATTTTTATTGTCGCTGAATATTAAATAGCTATAACCACACGCGCAGTTATGTTTTGACTTTTGAAAGTTCAAATCCAGCAATACTGATAAGTCTTTAAGATTTCTTCATCACACTGCAGATCATTACCGACATGAAACTACGGACGCCATAAAACTGGGACCATCCCTGATGTCTGTTATTTACTCGGTCTGATATTACGGCAGCTGACGTAAACACAGCGCACGTGAGTGGCCGGTTTAGAAATAACCGTAAAAGCAAGTATTCTAAACAGCTAGCTGTCATTAGCTCAGCGGCTAACAAACAACTCATCACATGTCACAGGAACATCTCACGGCTCAACATTAAACTTCAGAGAGGTGACAGTCATGTTGCCGCAGGTACTGATAACGTGCACTGCCTACAGTTCTTTTAATAATCGACATACCTTCACTACGAGAGAGAAAAGTCAACGTCTGTTTAAAGTAAAGCGCGATTGTTAGCGCGTCACAATGACGTGTAGAATGCGACGGACAACCAACCGCTGTAGGACCCGACGGTGTGTAACCATGCAGATGCCAGGCTGAAAGTAACAACAGCGAGTCTTTGCTATAAACCGCGTCTTGTTTAGATTGCCAACCCTGTAAAGACATTAAACGGTAAGTCATCAAAGTGTTTTGTTAAAGTTGAAGGCTGACGACGAAAGCTGAACACATCGTTAGTTGACAGTTGCGGATTTGATCGATCTTCACGTGTTCAAGTGCCACGCGCGGTGTTTTGCTCTAGCGAGTGTTAGACAACAAAACAACATTACCGCTTTAACTTATTTTGGAAGGTAAGCTCTAAAATATGAATCGACGAAGCAAAATAAGTCCGTATAAATTTTTATTCGATTCTATTTTAGTTATTAATGGTATCAAATGTATAACAATAATACTTTGCATGAAACAGAGATGTCGTGTTTTGGTGGGGGTCCGAACTTCTGCCCAGAGTGTGGGAATGTTCTTCCTCTCCCAGGAATAGCGGACGTAGTGTGCTGCCCCGGCTGCTCCTTTAGGATCCCTGTATCAGGTAAATTCCACATCAGAGTTTATGTGTGAGCATGAGCAGCAGAGATTTTGCTGCTTTCTCACTTTTTGTTTTTCTCATTTCGCTTCCATCCTGATATTCCTGTGATATTTA